TCAAAAATTGTTACCCCGCAATAAAAAGTTCGTCGATCGCCTCGATCCAAAACATCTCCACATGTAAGAAGGTATTCGTTAGTGTCGATTGCCACAATTCTCAATAATTTCTTACGCGATGAAACTATCTGATCACATTGCTCTCTCAGCCAGCAATCTTATCAGACAGTGACTTGAAATGTAGCCACCAGAATGTTTTTTGCCGATGACAATGATGATTTATTCCGCAAAGAAAGTGACAAATGAACCACCGGACAATATAAATAAATAAAATCATAAATGTATGCAGTTAATTCGAGGTATTAATGGTAATGTACAAGTGTGCTAGCTTCATATTGTTGTGACGTATATGCATAAAGAAGTTATTAAATTAGTTGCATCATGGAGTCGTGCCTGACAGTGTATCTGTTGAAATTGAGAGGATGAAGTTAATGTAAATTTATAGTGTTAGGAATTTCTAAAGAATAAAATTTTTTTATTTGTTAAAAAAAAAAAAAACAGATATTGATACCCGGAGGAAGAGTAAAATATATAACATATTTATTTAAAATATAATTTTATTAAAAGATACCAACGGAGAATATAGAAAAACCATAAGAAGAATATATAAACCAAAAAGAGTTTGTAGGTAGAAGTAAAATTTAAGGGACCAGACACTTGTTCAGTATAAATACAAAAATAAAAAAAAAGATCAAATAATAATAATCCCAGGAGATATACATTAAAATAAAATTAATCGGAGAGATTTCCATATAATACCACATGTATTTAAGGGCAGAGTTATTATTATAAGATATCCCATAAAAAATTTTAAAAAACCTTGTTTCAAACAAAATTTAGCAAAAGTGAAATTTTCTCTCTTGATTTTTATGTTCTTTTCTCTTATTAAAAAAGAAAAAAAAAAAACGAATAACCAAATACATAAAAAGAAATATTTAATAGTACTAGATAGGATAAAAGGCATATGAAGTCCTATTGTTGTATTTTTGTTATTTACCTTCTCCACTAAAATAGCGTTATTGTGAGATCCACTGCAGGCTTATAACTCAATAAAGGATTATGTATGTGATACTTTGATTCGAGCATATATCCTTATAATCTTATTTATAGATTTGCCCATTTAGGAGGATTTCTGTGTACGTTACAGTAACATCTCCATGAAAATGTTTTAGTATCCATGTAGAAACTACTCTCTTTCGTGTTATTTCGCAGTCGATGAAGTTGTTGTCTTGCATTTAGTGGATAAAGTTGGCATTAAGATTAGCAATCACATATGTGGAATCCACAAGCATGAAAGTCATGCTATAATGAGGACGGTACATGGATCTAGAAGGTGTGAATGGGCTATATATAGAAATGTCCAGGTCGATCGACAGCGAAAATTGAATGGGCTAGTTTTCATGTGGTAATTCGTTTACTCAATGAATATTAAGACGAATGTGGCAAAATGGTGGCAAGCATTTAGTGGTTTCAAGCAACTATATTAAATAGTATGGAAAAGATTGAGTTGAGGTGCAATCGCTCAGTGCTCTCTCTCGGAGTTTAGACAAGTCGTCAACCTTAATCCGGCCTAGATTATCTTACTATAAAACCTGCCTCATTTTTAATGGGTTTCAAATGGGCGTGGCCATAAGACGTGTTACTTGACTAGTCTTGAAGTCTTCCCCTGGCAACTCCGCTTTTTCAAAACTTTTCTAGAAATTTGTAGCTTGTTTCCGTTAAAAGACATTTTTAAAAACCGATTTAAAGTAAAATGCTTATGTCGATTAATAACAAAAGCCTGTCTTTATTCAAATATAGAAGTTATAAAAGGATAATGCCTAAATGAGAGAAGCAAAATGTATAATAATCAAAGACGTCATTCAGCCGCTACCCTGAGTAACAGACTCACTTTCGGGGGCCCCAAATTATAAGAGAAACAAAAAGAGTCTGAATTTCGATGACTAACAACTAGTAACATTTGAATTCAGCTTGGTTTTTGGAGTGCAATGTGAACAAAAGTTGGAAATAGCCTAAACAAGCCCACCGAAGGTTTTTTAGGCAAAGGTTTTTTAGGCGTGTACTACGAAAAGACCTAAACAAAATTTTCCAGGTATAACGAACTCCCGATATAGCGAACTTTACATTCTATTTTACATACATTTAAGTATGCAACCAGTAAACCAGTAAATTTAACTTCTGTTTTTAATTTCTTTCGAAAATTAGAAGCTGGATTGTCCTAAATTTATTAGGGTGTAAGCAGTGCAATTGCTAGCTAGTTAGCTTTAGGGTGTTTTTCAGGCCTTGTATGGCAACAAAGTAAATGAGTAATCTTTTATTTGTCGACAAGTTTAAAAAATTACCGAAAAAGCACCCCTAGATGGCAAAGAAATCCTTGTTTTTCAGGTCAAAAGAAGCGAATAAAGCTCTGCTTATACGGCATCGGGCGGCATCGGGCACTTTTTGCCTTTGCAAGTCGAATGATGTTAAGGGATGTTTTTGAAAAATTAGTTTTTTGGTATCTGACAATTGCAACGGCAGTTATTTCTGCAAAGTCTAGAATAGCATCGAAATTAACTTTCCGGAAATCTATTGCTGAAACTTTGAGCAAGGAATTAAATTAGCAGCTGCAAAGGAAATGATAAGAAGCATGAGCAATATTCCTCGACACGCTTGTATGTAATTTAATGCAGAAACGGGCAAAATTTGTTAATTGGAGACCAAATTCATGACGTTTCTTACACAGGGAGGGTGGATCGGTCAAGGAAAAGCAACAAAAATTGATATTAGATTTCAGTGTTAAATTATCACCACATGTCCTTTTAAGCGCAACCCTCTTGGTTACCCAGGTAATCTCCCTGGATTAGATGTTTGGTTTGGTTCCTTAACATCAGTTATGTTGATCATTATTTCGCAACGCGATTATCACGATAAAGGCGACAAATTAAACTGTTTTTTCGCTTTTATTGTGATAATCGTGATAATCGGCCGGTGGAAACATGAAATCTTGGAAATCGTGCTTTGTTTTAAATCTTTTGATATTCTGTCGCGTTAAAGGTTGTTGAAAAGTAAGGTTTGCGTCATATGGTACTGCGCAGCGGCGTGCGCAGAGAATTACAACCCAGCACGTCAGCAATAAATCAGATTAGATTGGAGTAGTGAGCGAGAGATAGGAACACGTGGTGATGTAAAGTGATTTCGGTTATAAATATATACACTTACGTCCAAAAAGTATTGGGACACCCTTCGAAACTTCGAAGACATTTTATGCAACAAATTCGGAAAGACTTTTTTAAAATCTTTCTCATTAAAAAAGTACGGCAGCTATTTCCATGAAAATTTTACAAGACATTGTTGATATTTTGAAGCCTTTTATGTACGCCAAAAAATTAAAAATACATCTACCATGAAATTTCTATAGGTCTCGAGACGAAAACATGGAAGCTCTGAAAACTCAAGAACTGAGTTAAGAGAAGCGCTTACAAATTGCTTTCTACTAAAATAAAGCAAATGGATTTCGTGAAATTGCATCAATTGTCGGCTGCCAATTGAATGCAGCTTTTCTAGTGTGAAAAAAGTTTTTCGGTACAAGAACAGTAAAAAATTTACAAAGGGTTGGCAGACCGAAGAAGTTTACGACGCCGAGGGACGAAAGGTCATTTCTGAGGGAACTGCGAAGTAATAAGTTTGAATCCTTACTAGACAGCATGTTGTCATGTAAAAAGAAGCTAAATAATGGAACATAAACAAAAACATGGCTATAAAAGTCATGAAAAATACCAATTTTCAAGCGTTATAAGAAGAAAATGCTCTCTCAAAGCAAAAATTAATCATCGACGATGAGTACAATGGCTTCTCCTTGAATGTTACGCATTTTTGAAAGTAACTTGAATAAATGCAATATTTTAATAAAATTGTAGCATTTTCGTCGATGAAGTAAACTTTTTTTGAAACTTAAAAGTTTGAATTCATAATTTCTTTTATAAATTTTTTTGTTATACAAACGTGAAATCAAAAAATTGTATTTGTTTGGACAGCTCTAAAATGTTTGGAAGGTCATGTGACTTTGCAGTTGTTAGGCCATACAACCCTTCTGAATATTTTGCTGTTATAATCAGGAAAATCGAAAGAATCCTGTGTTTTTGTGGTTATGATTCATAAGTTGAAGCATTTTCTTAACTTTTTATTCCATTTTAGGTAAACGTAGGCCTAGATTATTTGTAGAAAGACGGTCCAAATCTGAAAAATTTTCCGTTGCAAAACCGAATCCAACGCAAAGCCATAATTCGTTTATCGAATTCGTCCCAATACTTTTGTATATTAAAGCTTTGTTGATATAAAAGGACATTGTCTCAATGAATTTTGCATAGCCCGGTCCACGGTTTAAAGTTTATGACAATCGTGCTTTTCGTCAAAATGGACGTCACTGGGCTCGATTTCGAAAGGCAAACATCGGTTACCATGACAAAGTTCGCGTGCCTGGGAAGTTTCAAGGAGTGAATCGTTTTTTTTGCAATAAATTATTTGAAACACTCTTCTTATTTTAAACCAAGTAGCGTAGCTTGCCAAAATGGATCCCTATTGTAGTCAACGAGACGAACAGCTAGCAGAAGCAGTTAGATCTTACCCATGTTTGTAGGATAAAGGTAAATTGACTGCAAATGCAAAAATATTGTTGCTCATGCCTGGAGTAAAGGGCTGCTTTCTTGTTAGGGGCGCCATGTTGATTATAAAAACAATTTTTTTAGCGCTAATCGTTTTATTCGTGCAGTGGAAACTGCCATCACAATTGCGACTTTCGCGTTTGTCGCCCTAATCGTGATAATCGTGGCGCGATAATCACGATTGAATCATGTTTCCACTAGACTAGACCACAGAATAGACGATTGTCACGATAAAAGCGAAAAGTCATTTGAATTTGTCGCCTTTATCGCGATAATCGCCCAGTGGACAAAGCTTTAGGGGTCTGGAGCACAAGCTATTCGTCACATGCTCGTCACATGCTAGACACAGGGAAACAATGGGGAAACTTCTGAAGCAATTTTTCATTTCCCGGAAAACATTTCGTGTTCGAGTAGACAGGTAGAGAGCCTAAAGAAGGGGCAAATAAGAAGTTATATTATACCGTTTAAATATTTCAATTAAGACTAAGATGGAAATGACTGGACAGGAGATTAGTAGGGAATCCAGTGGAAAAGCTGAAAATCCCAGTGAAGTTGATGCTGTGTTGGGTTCTTCAAACGAGAATGGCGAGGATGCTTTGAGGAAATATGCCGACAAGCAGCTTCAGCGGACATACGAATTATTTGAAAAATTCACGGAAAAATCAGAAGCCGCCTACACCTCAATGAAAGAAGATTATGAAATGTTGAAAAATAAAGAAACTAATTATAAAGAGATGACAAAGAAGCTGGATGATGTTCATTTCGTTGATGTAGTAAAGCTCGATGTTGGAGGGGAAGAGTTCAAAACAGGATTACAAACATTGCTAAAGTATCCTGATAGTTTGTTCGCTACCCAGTTCTCTCAAAGTTTAAAGCTGAAACAGACATCTAACGAATCCTTCTTTATTGATAGAGATGGATCATACTTCAGGTAGTTATATTTTCACTCGTATTTTTACATAACATAGGGCCGCCGAGAGGTTTCGGACTAAAGGCCCTGGGGCAAAAGTTTTTCAGTGTATAAACGCTTACCAATCCGACAGTGCTGACCAGTTTATTATCTAATATTATTGCTTTTCTATTATTAAGACTAACCTACTAACCGCTTGTACGCAATACCAATTATGGGGACTGTACTATAACATTTAGATTAGATTTAACCGAAAGACGAGGCCTAGCAGAATTTTTTTGCGACCACGTCCTTTAGATAAGCTCAAAATACATTTAAGAATTTTACCTGCAGTCATTTCTGGCAATCGTTTATAATGTTTTACTATAACTAGACATAATTTTGCTAATTTTGACTGATTCCATTTCTATCCCTTTCCCCCTCTCGGCGGCCCTGTTTATACAGTTTTTGAAAGGATTGACGCAAGCTTTTGGAGATTTCAATGAGATATCACTGAAAATATTATTTTAAGAAACCCGAGACATGTTCCATGTGCTTCTTGATTAATCATATCGCTTTTTGATTGTCATTTCCAAAATATCATCTTAATAATGAATTGAAATGGAAATAATGTTATCTATCTTTAAAAAGCTCAACGAACAGTTCAAAATCCATCTTGCGTACTCACGCGTGTAAGTTAATTGATCGCTAGTTAAAACGCTTAAATCATGATCACAGCGTGAACGAAGCGAAGCTAGAATCAGCTCACAGTGCAATAATAAAAACGGAAGTAAATGTCATTGTTCGTAACAAAACTATGGCTCTATTGTTCGCATATTCTAACAAAAGCATTTCCCGAAACACTGGCGGAAAGACAAGATCCCAATATTTCCCTTGGACCATGCACCCAGACATACATTATTACCATACTCAGCTTTGAGTGCTCATTCAAGACACCCCATTAATTATTTTTGAGCCTTGTGTATTAGGAAACTGCAAAGGATATAAAACAAAGCTCCTTATATCATGGAGATTCACCCTATTTATTATTATTTGGGAATTGTTCTATGTTTATAAAGGATTGGGAAATTACCTCCCACCTTGCTTATTCCAGATCCCTGCCTATTTGGGACTCAAGAGTGGCCGTAACAGCCAGTAACAAACCTGGACTAATTTAATATTATTATATTATTGTCTTATCATTTGTCTTAAAGCATTTGAATATAATTTGTATATAAATATGTTTCCTTGTATATTCCAGGCATATAATGAACTATATGCGAACAAGCACTGTTACTCCAAAAATGAAAGAGCTGAAAGCTGAATTGATGGAAGAGGCAAAATTCTTTGGTCTATCTGGCCTGGTCAAAATGTTGTCTGAAGAGGAACCAGAACTAGAGAAAGGAGAGGCTGGTGGTGAAGAAAACAAGGATGTTGGGATGATTATCCTTGAGGATCATTCAAATCAGACAAGTAAACTGCTTGAAGATGCAAAAAAATCATTAAAAGAAGGACAGGATGCCCTGAAAAATGATATTAATCTGTTAGAAGAGTCAAAAGAGAATTTTCTTAAAATGTCTGAAAGATTGCAAGACGTCCACTTTTCTGAAATGATCCAGTTGAATGTTGGTGGGCATATTTTCAAAACTAGCATCAGTACATTGCAAAAATACCCAAACACCATCCTGGCTACAATGTTCTCCCAACGATTCAAATTGGAAAAACAGAAAGACGGATCATACTTCATAGACCGTGATGGGACACATTTTAGACATATATTGAATTACCTAAGGTTTGGAAGGTTACCAAGAAAAGTAATTGATGAGATTGGAGATGAATTGTTAGAAGAAGTAAAATATTACAATATTGAAGGATTGTATAAGGAAATATGGAATATGCCATCAATTGAATTGAAAGTTGGGAGCAAAAGCTACTACACAACAAGAAACATTGTGCATAAAGATGAATCTTTTGCAAGTACAATTTTTGGCAGTCCAACAGATGGTGGAGCATATCTGATTCAAGGGGACATAAAACACATGGAAGAAATACTTAAGTTCCTTGAGAAAGGTGAATTACCAAAAAACATTGCCTTTCTAACTCTTTCACGATTGTCCTTGGAAGCCCAAGTCCTGAATATGCTCAATCTCCAAAGATACCTGAGTTCATTCCAAACATCATGGTCTCTTCCATAATAAACATTAGGTCTCAAACATTTTAAGGTACCCTCCCCCCAAGTGTATTTCAGTAAAAATTGAAAATTTGATGAAACTGAAAATTTGCGTTAGTTAAATACCTATTTATATTGAATATTTTAATTTTGTTTACGGTTAGATTGGTCAGATTTTTCTCAGAAAGAATTTTTGACACATGATCAAAATCCAGATTTGGGACAAATGTATTTTAGTTCAGGCAAATATGCAGCGATTATTACATTCAGGTACGGAAGTCCATATGAGGATTGCTAATATATTCCGGGCCCGGGGGTTACTCCCATTATGGCCTAACAGAGAGGTCCAGTCAGGGTCAATGAGGGTCAAAGCTAAAATATTAAAAAATTACCCTCAAATGGTAGTGTTTTTTGACAATAACCCTCAAATGGTAGCACAAGAAAGCAAAATATTTCATTAGTAGCATTCACTTTTTGATACCCACCTGGTTCTTCTTTGACAAATTTATTCGCCATTGACTGTTGTTGATTCGGGAAAGACAAAACCTCGCTCATCGTCTATAATAAATCGCAAGCTAAACTAAGCCGTTGTGTTATTATCGAAACTGGGCCATTTGGAAAGACCCTCAAATTGACTGGACCCCCCCCCCCGCCCCCCGCCAGGCCTCAATAAATGGGAGTACCCCCTGGGGGCCAGGGCCAAAAAGCTCTAACTCTCAATGCGGCCCAGGTTAATTACGACACATTTTGAAATCCAATTTTGCAATTTTGAATTCGCTTTTTGCATTAATTTGTGTATGGTTATTTCGTGTACTG